GCATCGACCTAGGAACCAGGAGGTTACGGTTCGATTCCCGGTCAGGGCACAGGCCTGGGCTATAAGCTCCATCCCCAGGGTGGGGTGTGCAGGAGGAAGCCAATCAGTGATTCTCTCTCATCATAGATGTTTCTATCTCTCCCTTACTCTCTAATATCAATAAAAAATATTTAAAAATATAAAATATAATAAATAAATAAATAAATAAATAAATAAAACATCATCTGTGGGCCAACTTAAAAACCAGCCTGCCATATCTGGTCCAACATTTCATTAACTCACCCCTAATCTAATGCCTTGGCAGGGCCAGGTAACTTCTCGGGCCTTGTATCTAGAGCACAATTTATGCATATTTTCACAGTAGCAATGATGGCCTGTGGCCTGTGGTAATCGGCGACCATCAGAGCCACTGCTGACAGATGTGACAGCAGTTCTGCCATTCCATTCCTCACCCACCAGCAGCGATCTACACCGGGGTGATGGACCAGATACCCACACAGATGCTAATGTCATGTAAAGCACTCAGTAAACACGGAGCTAATGAGGGCAGAAATGCCACCTGCCGGCTTCCACGGTTTCAGTGATGGAACCAGTTGGGAAGGAGATAGATGGTGACTCCTGCAAGGGGACGTGGCGATTATGTAACCTATTTACCCTGCTCCCAACCCGTAACTTATAATTTTTCAAATGGAATCCACAATAGATATATTTTGCATTGTGACCTAGAACAAATACACCTACAATACAAACCCAAAGCAATACTTATCCATACTATGGGCAATATGTTTTTCTTTTCTATTTTTTTTTTTTTTTTTTTTACAGAGCCTGTCTTCCTGATTTATATTTTTTAATTGATTAAGGTATTTAATCAATTTCTTTATTGATTAAGGTATCACATATTTGTCCTCATCCCCCCCCCATTCCCATCCCAAACCCCTCCCCATGCATGCCCCCACCCCCCTGTTGTCCGTGACCACTGGTTAGGCTCATATGCATATTTATAAGTCCTTTGGTTGATCTCTCCCCTTTACCCCCACCGTCCCCTACTTTCCCTCTGAGGTTTGACAGTGATGATGTATTTTTCTGTTCTAACCTAATATAGACGCGTTCAATAATGCTGGTCTGGACTGACTGAGTTATTTTTACTGACTTTCTTAATGAGACCCGCTGAATTGCTGCCCAAACCAACGTATTTGGATTGTGTTTGCCCTTCGACAACTCCACCTTACTACTTTTTTCTCTTCTCATTCCAACGGATTTAAAGACATTTTATGATGGCATTAAAAAATATAAAGGGTGTCCCAGAAAAAATGCATATACTCGCTTTGAACAATTATAAAGGTGGCGTTTATTAAAACGCATTTCATTTTCAAAATGGAGCTATCGGGGGATAAAAGTGTGCATGCATTTTGGGGACCCCCCTGTATATGAATCAGCGTCCGCTATCGGGGTGACGTAGGCCCACACAGACTAGGACAAGGAAGAGGGTAGGTGACATTCTCGCCTCTGAGGTCCCGATACTTCGACCTCTTTAGTGTCTTCTGAGGAGACACAAGGCCAGAGCAGGGACAGGGACCCGGATATAAGGCCTGTGGGGGACAGGGGCCTGGATATAAGGCCTGTGGGGGACAGGGGCCCAGATATAAGGTCTGTGGGGGGCAGGGGTCCGGATATAAGGCCTGTGGGGGACAGGGGCTTGGATATAAGGTCTGTGAGAGGACAGGGGTCCGGATATAGGCCTGTGGGGGACAGGGACCCGGATATAAGGCCTGTGGGGGACAGGAGCCCGGATATAAGGTTTGTGAGAGGACAGGGGCCTGGATATAGGCCTGTGGGGGACAGGGACCCGGATATAAGGCCTGTGGGGGACAGGGACACGGCCTGTGGGGGGCAGGGGCCCGGATATAGGCCTGTGAGGGACAGGGGTCCGGATATAGGCCTGTGGGGGACAGGGGCCCGGATATAGGCCTGTAGGGGACAGGGACACGGCCTGTGGGGGGCAGGGGCCCGGATATAGGCCTGTGAGGGACAGGGGTCCGGATATAGGCCTGTGGGGGACAGGGGTCCGGATATAGGCCTGTGGGGGACAGGGGCCCGGATATAAGGTCTGTGAGAGGACAGGGGACCAGACAGGACCTGCGCGGGGACAAGCGCTTCACCTGGAAGGTAGGCCGCCCCCCAGTGCCCCCCGCACACACACCTGGGCCTCTGTCCTCGCGCTGCACACTCCGCGCCATCTCCCGCACCGTCCCTGCCGCCGGGTCCTACTGCGCAGGCGCGGCAGCGGCGCCTCTGGGCGCGGTGCATGCTGGGCCGGCACTCGAGGCCCGCATACGCGGTGGGCCGCGCGCTTGCCAGAGAGGCGCGGTGCATGCTGGGCCGGCACTCGAGGCCCGCGAACACGGTGGGCCGCCCGCGTGCCAGAGAGGCGCGGTGCATGCTGGGCCGGCACTCGAGGCCCGCGCACGTGGTGGGCCGCGCGTGCGTGCACCAGGACCGCGGCTTCCGGTCCATGGCAGGCGCTGGAGACAGGCTGCCCCGAGCGGGGTCCGCGTCCTGAGGAAAACAGAACTAAACCCTGGAAATCTTCATCAACGAGGTGGGTCGTGTAGTCTGGGGACCCCGCCCAGACTCCTCAAGTTACTAACTTTGGGGGTTGGATGGGGGGTGGGTGGAGGGGTGGAGGGTAGGTAGCCTTGGGCTTTTCGTGGCCTTTTGTTTACTTTTATTATGTACTTATTTATCTTTATTTCGGAGAGGAAGGAGGAGAGAGAAATAGCCATGTTCATTTGCTTTTTACAGTGCTATTAAGAGCAATGTGCCCCGGTGGAATCCCAATGGCTTTTCTCTCGTCGTGCTTTCTTTGCCATGCAAGTACAGCCCGGCCAGTGTGGCTCTGTGGTTAAGCATGGACTTAGGAGCCGGGAAGTCAGGGTTCGATTCCCGGTCAAGGCACAAGCCTGGGTTGCAGGCTCCATCCCTAATAGGGGGTGTGCAGAAGGTGGCTGATCTAGGCTTCTCTCCCATCATGGATGTTCCTCTCTCCCACTCTCTCTTCCTCTCTGAAATCAATAAAAATATACTTAAAATATATATAGTGAGCTTTGTAATTAGGAGTAAGGAATGCGCTGTGTAAAGACTTCTATGGCTTTGCTCAGCTCTACCTTCTTCGGAACGATCGGAAAAAGTGAGACCTGGTTTGCTAGTCCGACCTGCGATAACACTCGAGAGAGGCATTTCGTCAATCACAAGTGTCTGAGAGGGCATTCAAATAAAGCATCACCTTTTTACATAAAGGACGGGACCAATTAAAAGTTCAGTATTTAGGTCAAGTTTCCAAACATCTGGGCAGCTCCAGCCTGGTGCCTGCAGCCTCTGTGGGGGTGTGCTCCCAGAAGTGGGAGGAGCCAGACAGGCAGAGCCTGAGGCCCAGTGACCTTGAAGTGGCCTTCAGGGACTGCCTTCGGCCTTTCTGTCACTCAAAAATTCCCAGTGTTGAGGGAACTTGAGAGAAGCTGAAAACCACTGTCTTGCGGCGGTTTCTCTCCTCCTCCCCTGTGAATCCAATTAAAATTGCTCTCTCAGCCCTGGCTGGTGCGGGTCAGTGGATAGAGCACTGGCCCCTGGACTGAGGGGTTCCAGGTTTAATTCCAGTTGGGGGCACGTGCTTTGGACCCTGGTTGGGGTTTTGTGCTGGAGGCAACCAATCCATGTATCTCACATCGATGTTTCTCCCTCTCTCTCCGCTCTGTGTGAAAATCCGGGGGGAGAAATATCCTCGGGTGAGGATTAAAAAAAAAAGAAATCCTTAGAAAGGGAGCCCTCCTCATTAACTCGGCATCTGTCACGTGCTCAGAACGGGACTGACAGGAGGCATTCACAAGGGACAATGGGAAAAGAGCTTGGCAAACAAGAGACTCTTCACGCATGATTAAAATATAATGTGTCAAATGCTACAAGGCAGGGGAGAGCACACGGGGAGTACTATTTCATGGTTCAAAACAGGCGGGGGAGGCCATAGTCGGTTTGGCTCCGTGAACAGAGCGTTGGCCCATGGACTGGAGGATCCCGGGTTCGATCTCAGCCGAGGGCATAGACAGCAGATCGCTGCCCTTTGGTCAGTCAGTGCGAGTGCAGGCGGCAACCAACAGATGTGTGTCTCCCTCTCCCATCGATGTTTCTCTCTCTGTCTCTCCCTCTCTTCCGCTCTTCCTAAAAAAACCAACGAAAAAATACTCTCGGGTGAGAGAATGAACAAAAGAGACGGGGGAGGCTTCTCTGATCCAACACGGGAGATGGGGCGTGACGAGGGAACAGGTGAGGAAATCAAGGTGATGCGGCTTAGACATGGGTGGGGGAGGACCACGGGTGAGGGCAGCAGGGTGCCCATTGCACAAGGCCCTGCGGAACCTGTTTGGGTCTGACAAACAGTCGGTTTGTCAATGCCACCGTCCTAGCACTCCCGGGGAGTGCTGGGGACAAGGCGGAGAGGTTTAATCGCGGAAATGCAGCGACTTGACCATTATTTAAAAAAATAATAATAATTTAGAACTCGCTTCCAAATAGCGCTGAAGAAGCCAGACAGCAAAGAACACGTACGTACGCCGGGGTTCCATGTGTAGAAAAGACAAGACCAGGCGATGTTTATCTATGTTCTCTCCATTGGGGATAGAGCTACCTTTATGCGTGAGAAGGAGAGGGAGAGAGAGAGAAACATCGATGAGAGAGGATCACTGATCGGCTGCCTCCCTGCACGCCCCTTACTGGGGATCGAGCCTGCGACCTGGGCATGTGGCCCGAACGGGAATGGAGCCTCGACCTCTGGGCTCATAGGCTGGGCTCGCTATATCTTTTTTTTTAAGTCACCAGGCTGCTAGTCTGACCTGTGATCACACTCAGAGTAAGTTAAAAAAGAAAAGGTTAAAAACGGAGGTTTACTTTTTTGACCGGCACCTCATTCGGGCGACACGAACGGTTCCTGGAAATGAAATGCCACCGTTTCAAAAAGGGCTCGTGCTTTTATTACAGATCGCCTCGACCTGCTTTAACAACCTCAGGAGGGCCGTCGGGTTATACGGGAAAAGGTTTTTCCTCTGCAGACGGGAAACGGCGCCTTGCAGGGCTCGGAAGCACTTCGCTGTCCGGTAACACGTTCCCGCGTCCCTTGGCGCTTGGTCACAGCCCACGGAGAGAGGAGGATCGGCTTCTTCCGGAACCACAGGCCCCGACGGCAGCTCCGAGCTCCGTTCCTTCTCGCCCCTCCTGGTCCCCGCCGCGTCCCGCGTATTCTCCGTGGTTTCCCGGTGTGTGGGTGTCTGCTTAGTATTTGCGGAGCACGCGTCTGGGGACTCCGCCTCGGAGTCATCGGAGGTGTCGTAGTCCACCAGGCTCTGAGCAGCTTGCAGGGAGGCCCGACTCCCGGTCTGGGGCGTGGCGTGGCTCTCCCGGGACGCCGCCACCCGGTGCGGTGGGTCCGGGGGAGCCTCCGATGCCCGGGAGACACAGGCACGTGCGCCCCTGTGACGGCCGAGGGCAGCCGGCGGCCTGGATTCTGTGTGGCTGCCGCCTGTGTCCTGGCTGAGGGAGGAGGTCCGGCCACAGGTATTTGTGCTATCGGTGCAGTCAGCGACATCAAAGCGCTTGCAGACGGTCAGAAATGCATCCCAGTCTTGGGGCAGGAGTTTCAAGTATCGGACGAAATATTCCAGGAAGCAGGTTTCGGATGAAATCAGGAAGTCGAGAAGAACCGTGGAATCAAACCCTACGTTTTTTAGAAGGAATAAAAAAATGCAGTGCGGGTTGTAGCCATGCTCGTGGGCGTGCCGGCTCCACGTTTCTCGTTCCCGGGCCTCGTGTTGAGCAGCTTCGCGTTCTCTGAAGACAAAGATAACGGGAGACCCCCGGGTTAATGACCTTTTACAAAAATAAGCGTTGGCGGATGTAAGTCACACATAAGAATTCACCTACCAGGTTACTGTGTAATCTAGGCATTATTGGAAAAGAAAAAAAAGAAAAAAGTCAAACCAATCTCTTTCTCCACAAACTCTATATTAACCTGATTCAATAGAATAAATTGAAGGATGAATTCAGAGACAAGAGAAGAGAAAAATAATCAGCCTGCTGGTGTGGCTCAGTGGTTGAGCATCGACCCATGTACCGAGGGGTCGCCAGTTCGATTCCCAATCAGGGCACATGTCCGGGTTGTTGGCACTATGCCCAGTAAGGAGTGTGCAGGAGACAGCCAATCCATGATTCTCTCTCACCATTCATGTTTCTCTCTCTCTCTCTCTCTCTCTCTCTCTCTCTCTCTCTCTCTCTCTCTTCCTTTCTGAAATCAACAACAAATATATATTTAAAAATAAATAAAGCAGAAATAGTGGACAGGGTCATCAGTTATTAGCTTCCTAACCGATTACAGAGACGTGCCACAAGAAATAGGCCCCCCGCTGTTTTAATAAAGCAGAAATAGGATCAGTGTGCAATGTCATCGGTAATATGACTTCATAATCAATTTCACAGCGCTGCCTCTAGGTGGCATCAGCCCCAGTTGAACTGGGTATAAAAAAACGACAACTTTCCCAACCAATTAATAGAGATTAAGGAAAGAACGAACATGAAAACTTAGAAGAGCAGCTCCTTTGATGACTTACAAGTTTTTACTCGCCTTTACAAAGGCACAGGCCACCTTATAGAAGCTCCATATTGAAAAGTCAGTCTTAGAAGCAAGAGCTCCTACATAAATCAAGTGAGATTAAGATTTGGACACGGGCAACACAGAGATGGGCACTAAGCCAGCGCTTCCGTTTGCTAGGGCCAGGCTAGTTGTGCTAACCTGGGTCGCCTCGCCATCCACATCTTCTAACGAGAACTAAAATGTCATCTCGCTTTCATGCCGGGCAGGGTTAAAGGAAGGAGCTGGCTCTCACCAGGAAACCACAAGATTGTTAGGGATTTTTTTTTTTTTTTCCCTTTCCTAATGATGGAAAGTAAACAATAGGGCCAGCGCAGCATCTCTGCTTTCCTGGCATGCGGTGAGTGCAATGACTTGACGACAGACCGACCTGGTGAGCTTGAGGTAGATGCCCATTGATGCCCTGGCAGCTTCCAGCATGTCATCGTCTTGTTCCATGAAGACCCGGGACAGCCACTCACACGGGTTGTGTGCCTGCACCGGGGGCTGGAGGTGAGGCTGTAAGAAGGCCAGGAGCTCAGACATGTACCTCTGCAAAGCAACTTCAAAACACCAACATTTTTAAAGGGTGGGCAACGGTTCACCAATACATTCACATCTTGCCTGGCTATATACACAGTGACAGTGCCTGAAGTCCTTTATAAAGGCGTTATTATGGCCCAGGAGGTGTGGTTCAGCAATCCCCAGGAGGGGGCGGGAAGGAGGCAGCCAATCCATGATTCTCTCTTATCATCGATGTTTCTCTCTCTCTCTCTCTCTCTCTCCTTGCCTCTCTGAAATCAATAAAAAAAAATTTTTTTCAAAAAAGACAATATATATATATATATATATATATATATATATATAGTTACCAATAATTTACATTAGTAGGTATATCACACTCAAAATGTCTGCAAGTTAGGGAACTGAGCTCCAAAGAAGAAAAGTGACTAATCAATCGAATACCATTAAAATGAACAGTCAGACTGTTCACAAATTCTTGTTAAAAAAGTACATAAATTAACGAATGGGCAGAAGACAACAGGAATCACTGAATGTCATAGCCGTTACCAGTGGCAGCAATGCCAGGAAACAAAACGAATTTTGCTTTCAAAATAACAAACTTCTTTTTGGTTATTTAGAGCATGAAAAGAAAATACTACTATTGCTAGTAAGCACAGAACTCAAACAAGTTTGGGAAATGTTAAGGGCAATGTACAACTCTGAATTATGTAACATATGCCACCTAGTGTTGTAAATTATAAACTGCACACAATTATATCTAATATATACAAGTATAGCTAAATGTCCGAAGCAATTCAGGAAGTCACTGCTTACAAGCCAAACCTTTCGCTAGAACTATCCGCTGCTTGTTTATAGAGATGTTTGTTCTTTATTTTTCTCAGATGAAGAGGAGGACATGTCTATCCAATACCTAAACTGAATATCATACTTTAAATGGCTGTAGGTAGGACTGAACATCCTGGAAATTACATGCAACGATTTCTCCATAGATTCGTTTCCACCCAATACCTGATTATCAAAAATCTCTCTTCTGCTCCCTTCCTCTGAAATCAATAAAATTATATATATATATATATATATATATATATATATATATATATATGAGTCAGAAGCATTACCTTTCATTTCCTCGGCTGAAGCACACTTTTGAAACTTGATTTCTAAGGACTTCATGATAAGCAGGCTCGTGGCTCTAAGGATCACGTGATCGGGGCCAGGGGACCGCTCACATCCAGGCTGGACCTCCCCGCCCGCGAAGCAGGAGGGTTTTCCGTGGACGGACAACGCCCCCAACAAGCCCGCATCCACAGCGTGCAACACGGCATCAGCCAACGCCGCCGTGTCCCCGTCCACATGCCGGTCCGGCGGCGCAGGGGCGGCCACGGCCCCGCGACAGAGGTCCTCGCCCACGTTCCAGAGGAGGCACCTCTTGAGGAATAAGACGAGCTTCCTCCGGACGAAGGCCTGGACGGGCCAGGCGATGGCGCTCAGGACACGGGACGGTTTCAAGAAGACGACCCTCTGGCAGGTGAGGTGCAGGTCCCCGTGGGCTCGGGAAGCGACGAGAAGTTCCAGCAGCTCCAGGAGGCCCAGCAGGCTGTTGGCCGTGTCACAGGCGCCCGGGGTGCTTTCGAGATGCTGGGAAAAGAAGGAGTTATGAAAGGCTTCCAGGGGCGAGTCCAAAGGAGCCAGGAACCGCTTCAGAAGGCCTGCAAGGATGAAGAAGGTAACTGTAAACAACAGGGAAAACAAAGCCTTCTAAACACACACGTTTACAATTCAATTTCTACAAATGCTATCGCTTTTACAAAGTGAACAAATGGGTTTGCGTTACCTCTGCTGTGAACGGACAAAGATACACACACTAACTTTAGTAACGAAGGTTAAAGTATACAAGCAACCATAGCACTAGACTACTTTAATTTTTAATAAGAATAAAAAAGGTTTTTAATTTTTTTTAAGATATCCTTCCCCAGCCAGGGTGGGTCAGTGGTTGAGCAACAACCTATGAACCAAGTAGTCACAGTTTGATTCCCAATCAAGATACATGCCCAAGATATAAGCCCGATCCCCAGTAGGGGGTGTGCAGGAGGCAGCCAATCAACGATTCCCTCTCATCCTTGACGTTTCTCTCTCTCTCTCTCCCTCTCCCTTCCTCTCTGAAATCAATAAAAAAAAAAAATATATATATATATATATATATATATATATATATATATATATATTTTTTTTTTTTTTTAAAGATAGCCTCAATCAAAAAATATGGGGCAAGATTCTTGGATTTTTTTCATACCTGAAAAGAGATCACATGTTGTAAAATGAGTTTTACTCTTTGTTATAAATGTAATTCCCCTTGGGAGCAAGTTAACGACAGGTGTTTATGGGGGACTATCATTCGTACCTGGTTTTTGTGAACATGCACCTTTAAAGATTTCTTTTATTACAGCAGTAAGAGTCCAGAGGCAGTATACTACCTTATCACCTTCAGAGTATTCAGAGAGACTTTTTTGGCAAAAAGCAATCCAGGAATTACTTAATGTTATCTACAAGACACAAAATTTTAAAAAGTGGTAAGTTATAACCAGAGGCCTGGTGCATGGATTTGTGCACTGGTGGGGTCCCTCAGACTGACCTGCAGGGATCAGAATGCAACCGGCTCTCCGACATCCCCCGAGGGGCTCCGGATTGAGAGAGGGAGGTTCTCGGGTGATGCACCATGGAATCAGGCTCCCTCCTCTCGTTCCAGGTGCCAAGAACCACCACTGCCAAGTGACCGAAGCTCGGCAGCTCCTACATTGAGCATCTGACCACTGGTATCAGTACACTATAGCTACTGGCTGGTCGGCCAGTCAATTAGGCTTTTATATATATAGACTAGAGGCCCAGTGCACAAAAGTCATGCATGGATAGGGTCCCTAGACCTGGCCGATGAGAGCCTTTTGGCTGCCAGCCAGGGCCTCCCTTTGTTCCATTCCCCCTCCTGGTGGTCAGCACATGCCACAGTGAGTGATGGGTCTGCCAGCTGGTCTCCTGGTTGAACTCCCGTGGGGACAATTTGCATACTAGGCTCTTATATATATATATTAATATTGTCCTTACGATTACAAATCACCTATTATACACAATAGGACTATACAAAATTATTTTAAGAAAGTATGGTAGCCGAAACCGGTTTGGCTCAGTGGATAGAGCATCAGCCTGCAAACTGAAAGGTCTCGGGTTCGATTCCGGTCAAGGGCATGTACCTTGGTTGCGGGCACATCCCCAGTAGGGGGTGTGCAGGAGGCAGCTGATCGATGCTTCTCTCTCATCGATGTTTCTAGCTTTCTCTCCCTCTTCCTTCCTCTCTGTAAAAAAAAGTCAATAAAATATATATATATTTTTAAAAATAGAATATAGAAGAGAAGGAGTAATGGGGCGAGGCCTTACCTGTTCTCTCAATTGGAAATACAGAAGCGACGCCAGGCATTTTGCGGTCATGTGAGACAGCAACTTATCTGAGTCTTGGAACGTGCAGATCTGTAGGGAAATAAAACTGATCTACGCCCGGTGAACGTTTTTAAAACTTACTTTTTCTTTTTCTTTTTTAAATCGAGATCTCTAAAAATAGACAGAAAACAAACGGCTTACTAATTGGGAATCCAGGTCCGATGATTTTAAAAGAGCTGTAAGGACCTCTTTGTACTTCTCCTTGGCACGGAACTCGGTCTCCGCGGACAGCGCCCTGCTCACCATCACCTGGATCACCGTGAGCCGAAGGAGCGCTAAGTCTCGGGCACTGCTCTTCCAAGGACTGGTGGCTGGATGGACAGGGGACAGCGACGGCTGGCCCTGGCCCTGGACGCCGAGGGGGGCTGTGGGCTCCGAGGAGGCATCCCCAGAGCCATCGTGGTCTGGAAACGCTGGATGGAGATAGCAGACGTAATCCTGCGTGCCGTTCTCAAGTGTGGCTCCCACCAGCACCTTCTTATACATCTGGTCCAAAACCTCAAAGGAGGCCTTCATTTCGGCTGCCGACGTGTGTCTTGTGGACAGGGAAGCTGGGCGATCCCAAATGGCACCTAGGAACCTTGGGAATGCGGCAAATCTCTAAGGTGTTTCTTCCGTAGAACCTACAATGGGAACAAAATAAAAACACTTTAAACGTATAAGTGTTCCAGCCCGGCCAGTGTGGGTGAGCCTTTGAGCGTGGACCTAAGAACCAGGAGGCCAGGGTTCGATTCCCAGACAGGGCACAGGCCCCCGATTGCGGGCTTGACCCCAAATAGGGGGGCGTGCAGGAGGCAGCCGATCCATGATTCTCTCTCATCATGGATGTTTCTCTCTCTCTCTCTCTCTCTCTCTCTCTCTCTCTCTCTCTCTCTCTCTCCCACTCCCTTCCTCTTTGACATCAACCAAAAAAAATATTATTTAAAATAAATAAATCACTAAAGTGGGTCTGGTTAGACGCTACAGGAAGTTGAGGGAGGTGGGGGAGGCCTGGGTATCAGGGCCAAGGTTAGGGGAGCACAGAAGTTCCCGACATCCCTGCCCAACACAACTGGTCCACTATGGTGTCAAGAGCACCTTCCACCCTAATCTGAAAGGAGGGAGAGGGGGGATCGATTCCCATCTGCATTCTAGGTGCTGGGTACCTTCCCTTCGCCCCGAGGGTTATATGCATCACCTTTCTCCCAGCCCCAACAGGCTCCAGCAGGAGATGGGGGGGAATAAAAGGGGGAGAGAAGGAGAAAGAAAGGAAGGCACCCCTTTCCAGTTTCAGGACCTGCTCCTCCTACTTACCTTGTGCCGGTGCTGGCTGTTCCTGGCCCCAGGAGCTCATCTTCTCAAAACAACGGAGCTCCGTTTACCTGTCAGAGGTACCCTCCGCCGCCACCGCCATAGGCCAGCCACCGCCGGCCCCCTCCGGGCCACCGTAGTTCGCAGACCCTCCGAGGCGGCCCCGCCCCCCCGCATGCGCAGAAGCGCTGTTCGGCGTACGGCGTCTCCTAGCAACCGCTTCGAGTCCCTCCGCGAGGGGCGGGGCTTCGGAAGCCACGGCGGGGGGCGGGGGGGCGGGAGGGGAAAGCCTAGAGGGTGGTGAGCGAGTGCAGCCAATCGGAGGCGAGTCCCAGCTTCCGCGGCCACGCCCCCTCCCACCGTCGCGAACGCGCGGCCGGCTTTACGGCAGGCGGAGGGGTGGCGCCGCCGGGGATGAGGCGGAGAGAAGGCGGCGGCCAGCCAATCAGGCCGCCTCGTCTCCCGAGCCCCGCCCACCGCGGGCTCGGTTTACGGCTCGGGGCTCTGGCTCCAGGGCGGCCGCTGATTGGCTGCTGGAGGCCTTGGTCCCATCCCAGTGACCCCAAAGTGCTGGAGGAGGAGGGAGGGAGAGAGGGGGCGGGGGGTGGCCCAGTGCAAAGTGCATCCTGAAAGCCCCCCCGCCTGGCGCCCCCGCGGCTGCTCCGGAGGACCCTGCCCCAGCCGAGAACCTCGCTGCCCGGAGAGCTCCCGTGTCCTCGCCGCCTCGGAGCTGGGAGCCTCCGGCCCGGACCGCGGCAGCCCCTCTTGCTCCGGAGCGTCCTCAGACCGGGGAACCCCCCCCCCCCCGCCCGCCCGCCTCCGCCCCTCCGACCCTGTCCCCGAGCCGGGACTTCCTCCCTGCACCCCTGCCCGAGGCTGCCCCGAGGCCGGGACCGCCGCCGAGCGTCTGCTCGACTGTGTGGATGCTCCCCGGGGCTGGGGCCGGGAGGCTCCGGAACCCCCCGTGTCCGGCCCTGCCCGAGGCATCTCTTCAATGGAGAAGTTGGTGAGTGTGGAGGAGGCTGAGAGCAGGGAGCGCCGCCGCAGCTGAGGAGACAGGTAAAGTCAGTTAGCTTCCCTGAAGCCAAGGGGGCGGCTGGGAGGGAGGGAGAGAGAGAGGAAGGGAGAGGAGGGGGGAAAAAAATCACTGCATCTTCCTATCTTGCCCTGAACCAACCCCTCTCTCTCTCTCTCCCCCTTCCCCCCCGACCCCCCATCTCTGTCTCCCCTTTTGCTCCCCTTCTTCCAAGCACCCCCACCCCCACCACCACCACCACCACCTCCCTCTCCCTGCTGCTCGCCCCTGGGGCGCTGCCCTGCACCTCACCTCTCCCTGCTTTCTGATTTCCAGGTTTGCCAGTTTGCCTACCCCAGTCTGCAAAGCCAGAGGAGGCCTGCCCACCCACCTGGGAAGCAGCCCAGGACTTCTGAGCAGCATCCTCCTCCTCACAGGTAATGAGCCAGGCCTCCCCGGCCCTTCCCCATCGTTTCACCCCCCCGGGCCCCTGGCTCATGAGGCAGCAGCTCTCCGTTCGCCATGGTTCCCTGGGGACTGGGGTGCAACTGGTTCCTGTACACACACACCCCCACTTTGCAACGCAAAATACACACACACCCCAGAAATGCTGCTCTCTTTGCCCTGCTCCTGGATTTTCATAACTTTTCTACAACCTCATCGTCTCCCCCCTCTCCAACCCCTTTTCTCTCTGTGTGTTTTGCATGATCGTTGGTGATGGTACCGTTTTCCTCGCTCTGAGATGCGGGGACCTTTCTGGGGTCCTCCCCTAGGAATTTTCCTCGATTGTTTATCTTGAAGGGCTCTGCCTTTTTTTTTTTTTTTTTTTTTTTTTTTTAATTAATCCACAGCTTTCTCTGTCCCACTCCCCTGATTCCTGCCTATCCCTGCCCTTCAGCCTCCGCCAGAATTTAAAAAATCGTTGGGATGCCGAAACCGGTGTGGCTCAGTGGGTAGAGCGTCGGTCTGCGGACTGAAGGGTCCCAGGTTCGATTCCGGTCAAGGGCATGTGCCTTGGTTGCGGGCACATCCCCGGTGGGGGGGTGTGCAAGAGGCAGCTGGTCGAGGTTTCTCTCTCATTGACGTTTCTAGCTCTCTATCTCTCTCTCCTCCTCTCTGTAAAAAAAAGTCAGTAAAAATATATATATATTTTTTTAATCGTTGGGAGTTCCCTAACCCACCAGGGTTTGGGAGAGGAAGGTAATGGCTGGAGATGGATGCGTTTTGGAAAACAATGTGAGTTGTTTGTTTTTTTTAGGCCTGTGGTCAGCAAACCCTGGCTCGCGAGCCACCTGCGGCTCTTTGGCCCCTTGAGTGAAGCTATTCCACAAAATACCGCCACCGGGTATTTTTTTGAAGAAGTGGCTTTAGGAGAAGTTTAAGTTTAAAAAAAAGTGGCTCTCCAAAGAAATTTGATTCGTTGTCCTGTTGCTATTGGGCTCTGTGGACTCATGAGTTTGCCGACCACTGGCCTAGTCCAAAGGGAGCCGTGTACCTAAATGGTTGTAGATTGCAGGAAAGCAGTATTCGCCCCTGAAGGTCTTATGTAGGGTGAAACGCTTCAGGCTTTTGTGTGCTTCTGAGGGACACAAAGTGTGGACGGGCTCCGAAGCTGTTGAAATAAAATGGTGAGATAATAACCTGTTACCCCCTCCGATTTTCCAGAACGCGTAAAAACTTCCTGTAATATAGCTCGTTATCATTTGACACACGGGAATTTTAAATCAGAGGCATGTTTTTGGCTTTTCCTCTTGCCCTCTTCATACACGAGATTTCTCCATGCCAAACCCTCACAGATAATTTGTTAGATTGAAATGGAAAGCCGTTACCCCTGGCCAGTGCAGCTCAGTGGGTAGCGTGTCGGGCCTAAGGACTGAAGGGTCCCGGGTTCGGTTCCAGTTAAGGGGCACGTGCCTGGGTTGCAGGCTCCATCCCCAGCCCTCGTCGGGGTGCGTGAGGAAGGCAACCAGTGGGTGTGGCTCTCTCACATCAATGTTTCTCTCTCTCTGTCGCTCCCCCTCCCTTCCGCACTCTCTGAAAATCGATAGAAAAACATCCTCGGATATTTATCCTTGGAGGATGAACCACACAAATAGAGTGGGGCAAAGCAAAGAAATGTAAGCATCGAAATCCGTGTCGTTCCTAAAGGAGGAGGTATGATCAGGGAAATCATCAAGCGTCAGTTCAGAAACTAGCCAGATGAATGACTTTTCTAACATCCCATCATGGCCGTCTACAGTGAATTGTTTTTTTTTGTGTGTGTGTTGTTGTTTTTTTAATTTTGAGAAGTTTTTTTTTTTTTAACATATTTTATTGATTTTGTACAGAGAGGAAGGGAGAGAGATGGAGAGTTAGAAACATCGATGCAAGAGAGTCATCGATCAGCTGCCTCCTGCACACCCCCTACTGGGGATGTGCCCACAACCAAGGTACATGCCCTTGACCGGAATCGAACCTGGGACCTTTCAGTCCCCAAGCCGACGCTCTATCCATGGAGCCAAACCGGTTTCGGCTACAATGACTTGTTCACCTCAGAGTCATTTTAATATCTCAAGACGGCTCAGGGAATTGCAGGTACCACGAAGTACCTAAAATAGCAGAAGTCCTCAGAAAATATGTGATTTGCTCCGGTCCACTGGACCTTCCGTCTGCCACAGAAAGAACAGAATGTCCATCTTGAATGTCCATCTTGTTGCCAAGACGTAGCGAGAGACACTTTTTTTAAAAATATATATATATATTTTTTTATTGATTTTTTTTACAGAGAGGAGGGAGAGAGAGTTAGAAACATCGATGAGAGAGAAACTCAATCAGCTACCTCCTACACACCTCCCACTGAGGATGTGCCCGCAACCCAGGTCCATGGGAATTGAACCTGGGACCCTTTAGTCCTTAGGCCGACGCTCTATCCACTGAGCCACACCGGCCAGGGCATGAGAGACACTTTTAAGGGGGCTCTAGGATTCTCATGTTCTTTTCTGTAGCTTTTGGTAATCCTCACTCGAGGATATTTTTCCATTGATTTTTAGAGAGAATGGAAGGGAGGGAGAGAGAAACATCCGTGTGAGAGACACATAGGTTGGTTGCCCCGAGCAGGGCTGGGCAGGGATCGAGCCTGCAACCAAGGTACACGCCCTTGACCGGAATTGAACCTGGGACCCTGCAGTCCTTAGGCTGACGCTCTAGCCATTGAGCCACACCAGCCCGGCCT